CTAGCTGCAATGGACCTCAAAAGCAATTTTACGTTGATTATTCCAATCAAAACACACATATTGTCATCCCTAAGGTTCCGTATCTACTTCTACTACTATTTAAATCTTCACATTCATAAAAAGAAAAAGTAAACGAAAAATTTATTGAAACTGAAGATTTCGTATGGTTCAGAAATCCTCCTCTAAATTGAAGCATACGTGACCATTCTATGGGCCACTATGTTTGTAGCTACGTCAAGGTCTCTTCCATGGAATAAATACAAGAAACTTCTGAAAGAATCAGGCGTGCGCGAAAAAAATGAGTGTAATGGGTGCGGGGGATATATATCCCGCACGGTCCGACATGGCCTGCAATGCGCGGGATATATATCCCCCGCGTTGTCGTCAATGTGTTAATGTAGGGGGTAAACCTCTTTAAAGTAGATTGAACATGAAGAACGCCCAACTCCTAACACTAACGCCACAGTTTGCTTGGAGAGAAACGCTGGATCGTGCGCTGTGCGTGCTACAGCCCCGCAAAGCCAAAGACAGCAAGGTCGAAGTGAAATTATCAAAAATCACACCTCAATTGAGCAACGACGGAAAACTATCCTATCAAACGTATATATGAGGAAGTGCAGAAGTGAGCGATCGCATCCGCTTACGTCGATCCTTCGGAACAGTCGATTCAACCGTTAGGCACAAAACATAACATCACATCATATGAGGCGCAAAACTTCTGCAATTTCTCTACAGCGTTATTCAGAGAATAAGCGAATATGTATAAAAGATAGAATTCGAATCAAAATCCCACGTCAGGTGGTCTGTCTCTCATTTCAAACCGCTACTTCTAGGTTCTGCTTATTTTCAGGGTCAGCCGACCGTTGCACCAGGTTCTAAACGGGGAATCGTATTCGGCCAACGAGAAAGGGTTCGCAAGCACAATGATCGGCAAAGGGTAGAACGATGCATGGTGCATTCCAACGATAGTTCCACTGCAAAACGGTGGCCCTTAACAATCCAACCCAACTAAAAAACTAGCACTCCACCATCACTCTTCTTTGATCAAAATTCCACATATATGACTGAACTATGCAGAATATCTCGAGAAATACCTTTTCAAAACCATGTATAGTTTTGCCATCTTCAGAAAGCACGGTTAACCACCTAACAGTGAGTTCTTCACATCCAAGTTCTCTGATTGTCTGCAATAATGAGTGAAATGAGCGACGATGACGGCTTACTGCATATCACTGTTGTGAATCAAGCAAGATCAAAGTTTACATTGAAAAAGGTGTGCCGTAATGCAAGTCCAAGCTGACTGTGTTGCGTTTCGGTCATTTGTGCGAGCACCTTCAGTGTCGGTATCTTGGCATCTGGATCACTCAACATGTCATTACAATCATGCCAGATACCTTCTAGCGTAGAAACTTCCAGTGTGCGATTTCTCACAACCTAAATCTGGAAAATAGAACATAGAGGTACTGCAGATGAAAAAGGAGCGGTTCGGTGGGAGAGAGAAGGGACTATAGAGTGAAGCGCAGAGAGAAAACCGCGGTTGCGAGCGTTAGGCTAAGGTGATTGATGGGATTTGCAGTGGAAGGGGTGAGTTGTGGATGGCCCTTATTGCGAAAACTCCAAGAGCATCAAGGAGCGCGCATTAGCGTGAGATGCTTTCTGTTTTTACCATAATTTATTGGCGCGCACACCTATAATCAAGCAATTAATAGGCAAAAGCCCTCAGCTTCTTTGCCAATAACTGCAACCGGCTCATAACGTTATACGTGTGGGCGCTACTAAGTTATTACTTCAGTTCACTTGAACCTGGTATTCGGTGTGTACATCTGGGGCGGTATTCAATCCTTCCCCCAGGGGGATATATCCCCCTCCTCTGATTCAATCCTCTGGGGGGACAAAAAAGGGTTGCGTCATAGGACCTAGCATACCTCTGTGTTTCTACCTGCCAGACAGTTAGAGCAGCGCGACTACCCTTGAATAACTTCGTATAATGTATGTACATATATGCATTAGGTCGTACAGCAACTCCAGCCAGTCAACTACAGACACTTTGGACAAACTTTTCCAAGGAAAACCAAGATCGTTATAGTTGTTCTGGTTCAAAGCATGGGACTTCTATCCACCATACCACTATAATCGAGGATCCAGATTACTGTAGTGGATCCTCAAAGTTGCAGTGGTAAGGTAGATAAAAACTTCATGCAATGTTCTACAGCTTTAGGCTCCTCCCTGAATCAATGCACCGTTTGGTCTATTAAGTAGTACCTGCAAGGCCATTCTGCTTGATTCGCTGCAGCTAGTATTTCTGCTGTACTTAGGATGGATGACCTCACAATGTCCCTGTGTCCTGTTGCTTCTGGGCAACTGGGAATCTTTCCTTAGAAAGAAAGCAATGTCTGGCCGGCTGTACGGAGAGAATGATAAACTTTTACTGAAATTCTCGGCTCCCCCACTTTCTTCACGATTTGGGGCGCGGCCGCGGCGAGCGCGGACGAGTCGATAGTGCCCGCGAACTGTGGTGGTGATGCGTTTTCAAATTTACCCACACAGTTCGCGGGCACTATCGACTCGGCCGCGCTCGCCGCGGCCGCGCCCCAAATCGTGAAGAAAGGGGGGAGCCGAATTTCTTGCAGGCCTCAAATGCAGTATGATGCTTATATTCAATACATAGATGCAGCTGTAGTTACGACTTAAACAGTTGTTCGGCGAATGAAGTTTGAAAACAGGCAGCGGTTACTGAAGGAAAACGCCAGATAGCAATGGGTAAGAAAAAGAAAACTTCAAGAGACTGACATTGTAATTGCATCAAAGTTTTGATGCGAGTCTTCATTGGGGCTGCTTCTACTGATTCCAATCCAAGCACTTTGTGTAATGGATCCTTCATTAGAAATCAGCGAATCGTGCAATCGTGGTGAATCCTCAAAAAAAAAAAAAAAACAGTATTGCCATGCAATAGATCTAAGGAGAACGGTGTACACAGTACAGATTCACAGTCAATTTTAGTTGTTCTACGATAGTGACGAACTTTCTGTAGATCCATTTCCATCTTACTGTAGGAGTTTCCTTTATCATTCGGTGTGTCGCTCCGTCACGGTGCCCTACACAAAATCCCCTACTCCCTGAAGAGGCCCTGGAATGACCGAGACAAGCGTGGGATGGGTGGGCCATCTCTCATGGTGTACAGGGTGAGCCAAAGTTATGCGGACCGCGTGCGCGCGCGATCATATCCACTTTTTTCAAGTTGCTCCATTTTTATCCTCTTTGCTGTGAATCATGTGAAAGGGTACAAAGTCATCTTTGTTGTGGGGAGGATTCCATCAGAGTGGGAAGCTGGAGCTCGCCTTCACATCCACGCATATGGACTCGACGGACTACCAGTAAGTGTTACGTACGTCATCTCCTGCCTTTTCTGGCATGTCAGAAAGAAGGAGAGTTCGTTATCCAGCAAGACAACGCGGCAATCCACGAGCAGGTCCACAAAATCATGGTTAGACGAGAGAAACATAATCACGAATGGACTGGCCTGCTTGCTCTCCTGATTCAACCCATAGAGAACCTATGGGGTCTTTTGGTCAGGATATTTACCGCCAGGGAAAGAGTTATGATAGTGTAGCAGACCTCAAACTTGCAATTAGTCAGTCATGGAATTGTTTGGATGCACAGTTGCTATTAGGTTAGTTGAATCGATGCCAAATAGAATCTTCGCAAGTCATTTCGAAACATGGAGGAACAAATTGATTATTAAGGAATTGTTATAAGTTCTTTCATAAATATGTATTCGTCGGATAGCTGTGGGTTAGAACACCACAGAGGGAAATCCCTTATTCTACTCAGATCATCCCCTTTTATACTCTCATTGTTTTCCTTCCATCATTCCCAGTATCTTCTTTTCCATTCACATTCTTCTATTCCTCTTCGCCGGTCTTCCTCGTTTTCCCTAAACTATCTTTATCCCCCTACATCTCCCCCCAAGTGACTTTAGTCACTTGCACTCTTACTTCCGTGGCCCCCGACTGGGGAGAATTTCCCTTCTCCCCCATTGTCGGCGCCCCATTTCTCTACTCTGTGCACACCATTATCAGAACATCTTTATTTTACGTTCACAAAAGGAGCATAATCAAAAATGATATCACTGCTCTACATCGTTCCCGCTTCTACGAGAACTCCCAATCTCTTGAATTTGTGCTGTCAATTGTGCGCATAAAATGCGCATATTCTCTAGTTCTTGACGTAGGGTGGGGCGGCGACCGCGCCTCCCCCGACGACTTCCGCGACCACGGTATAAACCCCGGCCTCGGAATCCGTCGGGGCGTTCCCCACGGCTCGTTTCCGCACTTCCGGCATGCGGTTGAACTGGTTGCTGAATATTTCCTTTTCCACTACCTTGTAACTCCACTCCGAAGTTAACTTCACTTACCGCGGCGACAGGAGGGAGCTGGATGACAATCGGGGAGCCGCCACTAGCGGGCGTCGAAGCTACGACGGGTGGCGGAGGTGGCGGCGGCGCAGGTACGGCAGGTTGGCCTGGAGTTGGCGTGTATGTCCACATCAATGCCGACCTCACCGTTCCCTCACCTTTTATATCAGCATCCTCTTCATTATCATACACACGGCTTATCCCCCGTATCAAATTTACCCTATATTTGTTTTTACTCAATCTTTCCCTATTTTCCACATAATTCCTCATTCTATCTGTTAATTTACGTGACCGTTCCGATCTCCTCTGCGGTAGCTCCTGTTCCTGCTCCGCTTCTGGCCCTCTTTTTTGGACCAGTCTCAATAATTCTGGATCTGGCACGGGTCTCCCTTTCATTTGGTCTGCGTGGGCTTTCCGACTACCTGATCCGAAATGAATCTCATACATCCGCCCACCTAGAACCTGGGTGACAATTCCTGGAATCCACTTGTCTCCTCTCTGGTAATTTCGGATATACACTTGTTGACCGACTACAAAAGTTCTCTCCTTTCTCCCCCTCTTATTGTAGTCGGCAATCATCCGCTCCCTATACCCACTGTTCTCGGTTAGCCTTCTCCTTCGTTTTTCTTATATCTAACGTAGTTCTCAATTCTCTCCCCATCAATATTTCCGCCGGCGACTTCCCGGTCGCGCGATGAGGGGTTACCCTATACTCGAAGAGCAATTCCGTCAGCACATTTTCCGGCTTCCTACCATCCGAAGCCCTTTATACCATCCTTTCTTAAAAGTCTGGACGAATCCTTTCTGCTTCGCCATTAGAATTAGGATGGTATGGCGAGGTCAAGGTCAGCGTAATATTCCTTCCCTCGCAATATTTCTTAAAACCCACTGACGAGAACGGGGGACCATTATCGGACACAATTTGTTCCGGCAGCCCGTGCGTGGCGAATACCGACCGCAATTTGTCTATAGTTCTCTCTGCCGTGGTAAGGCCCATACGGACCACCTCCGGCCATTTCGACTTAGCGTCGACCGCTATCAGCCATTTTTCTCCACCTTGTGTCTGGCAGAAATCTATGTGTATTCTCTGCCAAGGTTTGGCTGGCTCTTCCCACAAATGCAGTGGTGTCTTCACAGGGTCGTTTGCGAAAACGGCACAAGTTTCACAAGTCCTCGCTAACTTGAGCAATTTCCTTATCAATTCCCGGGTACCATACCTTTCCTCCGGGCTAGGCTCACCATGCGGTTTTTTCCGTAATGACTGGTGTGCAACATTTGCAATACCTTCCTTCTAAACTTAACAGGTACAATTACTCTGTTTTCCCACAATAGACACCCTTCATAAATTGATATCGCCGCACTTTTCACCGCGTAAGGTTTTAGCTTCTCTTCCGTTTTCGGTGGCCAACCTTTCTTGACATACTGTAAAACCTTGGCCAGTTCTGGGTCCTCCAATGTCGCTTTAGCTACTTCTTCCTCTGACAAAGGCAGGTTCTCGAAAAGCTCTTGGTCCATGGCTCGTGCCTGTAGCTCACTAATTACGGCTTCTGCGCTAGGTAATTCACGGGGGTCGGGTAGTCGCGACAACCCATCCGCATTACCAAACTCCGCGGTTTTCCGATATTCTATGTCAAATGAATAAACCATCAACCGCAGCCCCCATCGATGCAGTCTCTTAGCTGCTATCGTGGGCAGTCCATTTTTGGACCAAATATCTCACCAATGGCTGGTGATCTGTCAGTAACGTGAATCTTCCTACCATATAAAATTGATTGAATTTTTCCACGCCATAGACTATGCCTAGCGCTTCTTTTTCTATTTGCGCATAATTTCTTTCTTCTTTTGTTAAGGAACGTGACGCATAAGCAATTACTTTCTCGGTGCCGTCTTTATACTTATGATAAATTACTGCTCCTAATCCATAGTCGGACGCATCTGTGGCCAACACGACTGGTACATCAGGGTCATAATGAGCGAGTACATCCGCTTTAGTTAACCTTCTTTTAATCTCTTCAAATGCCTTTTGGCGTTCTTCGTTCCAACGCCATTCCACTCCTTTCTTTCTCAGAGAGTTCAATGGAGCGGCGAGCGTTGACAGATTAGATATAAATTTACCATAATATTGGACCATGCCCAAAAAGGATTCCAATTCCTTAATATTTTTTGGTGCCGGCATTCTCTGCATTGCCTCTATTTTATGAGGGGATGGTCTTATACCTTGGGCATCCACAATATGGCCCAAGAATTCCATCTGTGTCTTCAGAAATTCACATTTACTTCGCTTTAAGCGGAATCCAGCTGCTTTTAGTCTCTGTAGGACCTTGTCCAGTCTCTCGAGGTGAGTATCATCATCCGGTCCAGTGACCGTTATATCATCTAAATAAATCACTACTCCCTCTATTCCGGCTAATGTAGTTTCCATTATTTTCTGGAAAATCGCCGGAGCGGATGCTATTCCAAATGCTATCCGGTTGTACTCAAAAGCCCTTTTTGGGTATTTACCGTCGTGTATTTCCTAGATTCTTTATCTAATTCGACCTGCATATATGCTTCTGACAGGTCCATTTTTGAAAATTTCTGTCCACCATTCAACATGTGGAACAAATCATCTGGTTTTGGTAGTGGATACTGATTGATATCCAATTGCGGGTTTATTGTTATCTTATAATCGCCGCATATTCTGATTTTACCTCCAGGCTTGGGACGACCACCAACGGAGTAGCCCACTCCGAATGGTCGACCTGCGTTAATGTACCATTATTCACTAGCTCCTTAAGCTTTTCTTCCACCTTTGGCCGTAAGGCCAACGGTACCGGCCGTGCCCTAAAAAACTTCGGCACCGGCTCCATTTTAAACTTCAACGTTGCTTGAGCGGTCACACATCTTCCAAGGCCGGGTTTGAATACACTCTTGTTCTCCTCAAGGATCTTTGCGAGCCTCTGCTTCACCGCCGGTCTATCCTGCATTTCATGTACACTCTGGTAATGTGGGCCACAATCGATCTTCAAGGCTCTGATCATATCTCTTCCGCATAAGGTGCGAGTGGCTCCTTCAAGCACATGCAGGTCCATTTTCGCTTGTCTACCATTGAATTGTACCCACACTGTGCACTTGCCACAAAACTGGATTGGGCTATTATTGTAGGCTGTAGCCTCTATTGTGGCTTCCGTGAGTGGAGGCTTACCTATCCTCTTCCACGATGCCACATCCAATATTGATACCGAGGCTCCGGTATCCAGTTCACACGCTATGTCGGTGCCATGGATATTTATTCTCAGCATAGTAGCTGGATCCACTTTTTGGCACAACGACTGGCCTCCCGATCGACGCACTCTCGGCGGATCGTCCGACCTCAAAATCTCGGGTCCTTCTGGACCTCTCGGGCTGATGCCCCAACTTAGCCAGCTCTTCTCCACGACCTTGACGCTCTTGATGACTCACCTTATCAATATTATTCTCACTACTATCCATCTCGTCAAGGTCGGAGGTGCTGGGCTCCGCACACCAGTTGACCCGGCGGGAGACTTTTCTAGAGCTATCACCTTTGATCGGCATGCCCTAGCCATGTGCCCAGGTCGAGAGCAATTGCTACAGAACGCTGTTTGTTTCTTAAAGCACTGATAAAAGGCATGCCCTCGACCTCCACAACATGTGCACTGGGCTGCAGCGACCGAGCGGTTGTTTACTACTCTTAACTCCCGCTGCTTGTTCTCCAACCCGGCTTTTATTTTGCATTGCTCTGGCTCGTGGAGGCGGTGCATCCTGCTTCCTCTTCGAAAACTTCCCTTTATTGGACTGCACCACCGAGATGCCTACTTCTTGTAGTCCCTCCTTAAGGTGAGGTGCATTTTTGCCCACTCTTTCGAATGCCTCAGCCGCCTCCAGAGCTTCTTTAGAAGTGAGGTTCTCCCTCTCTAAGAGCCGTTTCCTAGTTTCTAAGGAGGCTAATCCTCCTATGAATACCATTGTGACCATGGCGTCACGATGGTCTTTTATCTTTTCGAACTCACATGTCGCTGCAGCTTTCTGCAACTCCGCATAATAGTCCTGCAGAGTTTGTCCAGGGCGTTGTGTTCGGGACATCAATCCATACCGTTCCGCCAAGACCAGTTTCTTCGGTTGAAAGTGGCTTGCCATCGTTTCGCTCAGCTCCTTCAGTGGCACCTGTTCTGGCTCCCTGCCTTGTAGCAGCGACTCCAGCAGCTCGTAGTTGCTTCCTCCAATTTCCTGCAAAAAGATCAATCTTTGCTCCATCTCATCTGTAACTTTCCTCAAAATGAGGAAATTATTGAATAGTCGCCACCAAGTGCGCCACGGTGTTCCCGGCACATAAGCGCCAGGTGCACGTCCCCGGTAGACCTCCACCAAGGTCCCGGGTTCCGCCACCGCCGACGCCTTGATGACGACAGAACTGCCCTGGTTAGTTGACATCTTCCTTCACTGACGTCTTCTAGTTTTCTTGAAACGCTTCCACTGCGTAGTACACGGCCTCCACTGCTTCGTGTGCGGCCTCCAATTGTTCACTTGCTGCCTCCTTGATAGCTACGGCCTCCTCCGCTTCTTGAGTTGCTGGCCTGATCGCCAGTCGGCAGCTGTGTAGAACACCACAGAGGGGAATCCTTTATTCTACTCAGATCATCCCCTTTTATACTCTCATTGTTTTCCTTCCATCATTCCCAGTGATCTTCTTTCCATTCACATTCTTCTATTCCTCTTCGCCGGTCTTCCTCGTTTTCCCTAAACTATCTTTATCCCCCTACATCTCCCCCCAAGTGACTTTAGTCACTTGCACTCTTACTTCCGTGGCCCCCGACTGGGGAGAATTTCCCTTCTCCCCCATTGTCGGCGCCCCATTTCTCTACTCTGTGCACACCATTATCAGAACATCTTTATTTTACGTTCACAAAAGGAGCATAATCAAAAATGATATCACTGCTCTACATCGTTCCCGCTTCTACGAGAACTCCCAATCTCTTGAATTTGTGCTGTCAATTGTGCGCATAAAATGCGCATATTCTCTAGTTCTTGACGTAGGGTGGGGCGGCGACCGCGCCTCCCCCGACGACTTCCGCGACCACGGTATAAACCCCGGCCTCGGAATCCGTCGGGGCGTTCCCCACGGCTCGTTTCCGCACTTCCGGCATGCGGTTGAACTGGTTGCTGAATATTTCCTTTTCCACTACCTTGTAACTCCACTCCGAAGTTAACTTCACTTACCGCCGCGACGACAGGAGGGAGCTGGATGACAATCGGGGAGCCGCCACTAGCGGGCGTCGAAGCTACGACGGGTGGCGGAGGTGGCGGCGGCGCAGGTACGGCAGGTTGGCCTGGAGTTGGCGTGTATGTCCACATCAATGCCGACCTCACCGTTCCCTCACCTTTTATATCAGCATCCTCTTCATTATCATACACACGGCTTATCCCCCGTATCAAATTTACCCTATATTTGTTTTTACTCAATCTTTCCCTATTTTCCACATAATTCCTCATTCTATCTGTTAATTTACGTGACCGTTCCGATCTCCTCTGCGGTAGCTCCTGTTCCTGCTCCGCTTCTGGCCCTCTTTTTTGGACCAGTCTCAATAATTCTGGATCTGGCACGGGTCTCCCTTTCATTTGGTCTGCGTGGGCTTTCCGACTACCTGATCCGAAATGAATCTCATACATCCGCCCACCTAGAACCTGGGTGACAATTCCTGGAATCCACTTGTCTCCTCTCTGGTAATTTCGGATATACACTTGTTGACCGACTACAAAAGTTCTCTCCTTTCTCCCCCTCTTATTGTAGTCGGCAATCATCCGCTCCCTATACCCACTGTTCTCGGTTAGCTTCTCCTTCGTTTTTCTTATATCTAACGTAGTTCTCAATTCTCTCCCCATCAATATTTCCGCCGGCGACTTCCCGGTCGCACGGTG